TATGATCCTATATATTGCACCTGATCACTGAATGTCAGTGATTCTTTGCTAGGACCTAAGTTGGCCACACACATACAGCAACAGTCTGATAGCACAATTTCTGTACAATATCATTTAAATTCATCTATGCTATGTGGTGTAAGGTTCTAAATAAAATGATCCATACAATTTACATATATACAGTCAGGTAGCCCTTTAAACTACCCAGGTATTAGTAAATGTAATGTAGATTATAATGCGTATAACCAGCTTTAGGTTACTCATATGCATGAAATCATGAAAGTTGCCTGACCTAGCTATTATTACTATGGGCAGGGCCGGATTTACTCTCCCTGCTGCCCCAAGGCCAGGTTCTGCAGTGCGCCCCACTCCCCGCCAACCCCCCCCATCAATGGAGAATGGCAACCAGATGGCAGGGTTAGTTTTACCTTTTTTTTTATTGTTTCTTTATTTTTTTACTTTATCACTTTTTTTTATAATTTTCTTATTTTTTAATTTGGTTCCTTTTAATTTTTTTACTTTTTAATCACCTTTTTTATTTCTTTTTTTTGAATTTTGATTTCTTTAATCATTTTTTTATAAAATTTCTTTTTTACTTTATTGCTATCACACAGGAGCTAACAAGCCCCATGTGTGATCGCAATTGGAGGGGACAGGTTCTCTTTATTGACCCTCTTTATTCACCTCCTGTATTAGGAGTTCTAACACAGCACTGTGCTGGAAGTCCTGTGACAGGTGAGAAGGGGAAGAGCACAGCTCTCCCCTCTCACTGTCTACACGGAGCGGCAGGGTTACTTTTAACCCTGCCGCTCTGCTCTCTGCATCAGCAGCAGGGACTCGGGACAGGAGAGAGACTCAGCGGCAGGGGGAGGACTGAGCCCGAATCCAGCGAGGAGAGAGGTAGGTGGCGGGGGGAGGGGAGGACGGGCAGGCTGCAAACGTATTACAAGTGATCTCGGCGACACTCTGCCATGTGTTGGGCTCTGTTGTGTATCGGTTCTGGTCTGCGCTCTGCATAATGTTGGGCTCTGCCATGTATTGGTTCTAGTCTGCACTCTGCCATGCGTTGGGCTCTGCCGGGGATTGGTTCTAGTTTGCACTGTGCCATGTGTTGGAATCTGCCATGTATTGGTTTTGGTCTGCAGTCTGCCGTGCATTGGTTCTGGTCTGCATTTTGTCATGTGTTGGTTCTGTTCTGCACTCTACCATGTATTGGGCTCTGTCGTGTGTTGGTTCTGGTCTGCGGTCTGCCATGTGTTGGGTTCTGCCATGTGTTGGACTCTGCCATGCGTTAATGCTGGTCTGAGGTCTGCAGTCTATTGGTGCTGGTCTGCCGTGTGTTCTGCTCCGATGTCTGCCATGCGTTTGGTTCTTGTCTGAGGTCTGCCATGCATTTGGTTCTGGTCTGAAGTTGGCCATGCGTTGATTCTGCACTCCACTCTGCCATGTGTTGGTTGTGGTCTGAGATTTGCCGTGGGTTGGTTCTGGTCTGAGGCTGGCTGTGCGTTGGTTCTGGTCTGCGCTCTGCCATGTGTTGGGCTATGCCATGCAGTGGACTCTGCTGTGTGGTGGCCTCTGCCATGTGTTGGTTCTGATCTGTGCTCTGCCATGCATTGGGCTCTGCTGTGTGTTGGTTCTGGTCTGCGCTCTGCCATGTGTTGGGCTCTGCCATGTGTTGGACTCTGTCATGCGTTAATGCTGGTCTGAGGTCTACAGTTTATTGGTGCTGGTCTGCGGTCTGCCATGCGTTTGGTTCTGGTCTGAGGTCTGCCATGCATTTGGTTCTGGTCTGAGGTTGGCCATGCGTTGGTTCTGCACTGCACTCTGCCATGTGTTGGTTGTGGTCTGAGGTTTGCCGTGGGTTGGTTGTGGTCTCAGCTCTGCCGTGCGTTGGTTCTGGTCTGAGGCGGGCTGTGCGTTGGTTCTGGTCTGCGCTCTGCCATGTGTTGGGCTATGCCATGCAGTGGACTCTGCTGTGTGGTGGCCTCTGCCATGTGTTGGTTCTGATCTGTGCTCTGCCATGCATTGGGCTCTGCCGTGTGTTGGTTCGGGTCTGTGCCCTGCCATGTGTTGGGCTCTGCCGTGTGTTGGTTCGGGTATGTGCTCTGCCATGTGTTGGGCTCTGCCGTGTGTTGGTTCGGGTATGTGCTCTGCCATGTGTTGGGCTCTGCCGTGTGTTGGTTTTTGGGCTGCGCTCTGACGTTTGTTGGTTCTGGTCTGCACTCTGCCATGTGTTGGTTCTGGTCTAGGGCTGCAGCTAACGATAATTTTCAAAATCGATTAGTAAGCCGATTATTAATTTAGATTAATCGGATTTTTTAAAAATGGCTCCGGTAATGGACTACTAGTTTGTATTGAGATTGTAGTCCATCACAGAGGTATTCTCCCTTGTGCCGTTCGACCGCGGACGCTCCATAATGCAAAATGCCTTCCGAAGCTCTGAATGGTTAAAGTGGTCAGGTGCAAGACTTTGCCCAATCAGGGCTCAGTATTGAATTAGAGCCATGATTGGGCTCTCAGTCATGAGCCCAACCATGGCTCGCCTATCAGATGTCGGCAAACTACACAATTGGGCGGAGCTAGCTGTCACCGCTAGCTCCGCCCAATTGTTTGTTTTGCCGGCATCTGAGGGGGGGTTAAATAAAAGACTCGTCAAAAACATGTCTTGTTTTTTTTCCAAATAAAGGATTTTATCAAAAGTCTGGACTTTTTCATAAATATTTTCTTTAACCCTTTAGTGAATGGGTAGGGGTGCAAGTACACCTTACTCATTCACAAGGGAGGGGGGCGGCATCTGGGTGCCCCCTTAATTAAAGGGGTACCCCGATGCAAATAAGTCCCCTTGCCCGCAGACCCCCCACAACCACCGGGCCAGGGTTGTGGGGATGAGGCCCTTGTCCCCATCGGCACAGGGACACCCTCCCAGTGCCGAGGGCATGTGGCCTGCTGTTGGAGGGAGGGGGGGGCGCTCACTCGCCCCCCCCCCCCTTTTCGGCCCTGCCAGGCCTATGCTCGGATAAAGGGTCTGGTATGGAATTTTAGAGGGCACCCCATGTTTTATCCCCCCATTTGGGGGGTCTGGAATTGTTGGGGGGGGGACTGCGCACTTTAAGAGAAGAAAAAAAATGTCATTTGTTTTTAAAGAAATGTCAGTTTTGCTGCAGCAGGTTCTATACATTCTACAGATCCGCCACTTCACAGGCACGTTAAAGGGACCCCCAGGCATGATATTTGAAGGAATTTTTCATTTTTATTCTTACCCTTTAAGTGATGGTAAAATCACTGCTCCTTTAAAAATGGTATTTTTATTCTGACTCCGACCGTTGTGATAGCGAAATATATTCCTTGCTGAGACCTCTATGCCTGGCCTGTATAAGCAGATATACTCACTGCGGACAATCCTCGTCAGATAGCTGAACTCGTCAATACCGATTCATTCAAAAGAGGTGTTTATTCTTAACATCAGGTTTACAGCAGATGATAGGAACAGCAGATGAATGGTTATAGTATTGTGCGGTCAGAAAATGATGCCTTTCCTACGTACTGTGCAGATTACATGTGTGTCCTTGTTACATGTGGCTTTTAACTGTGGCCATGACACAGGAAGTACTGCACACAGGAAGAAGGAAGGGGCGTACACTAGGGGGAAATACGTCGTCACATGAGGAATAATTACAGAAAAACATGTACATTACAACAAAAGGCCACTGGATGGCAGCATAGGATAACACATGGATTTAGCTATGAGAAAATAGTTAGGCAAATCACACTATATAAATTCTAACCTATATAACAATGCTAATATTAACTGAGGCTATGCATCTCATATTCTATGCCCCTATTGGGGCGGCACAATTTTTGTTTTGTTTTTTTGTTATTAACTCCTGTCCCCCCGGGCAGTACTCGGACCCCCATACATGTTTTATGGCCAATAACTTGCATATAAGCCCTCTTAAAGGGGACATTCATTTTCGAACATTCAACCCCCATTGACTTGCATTACGTTTGAGTTCGTATTCGAATTTTTCGGCCGTTCGGGAGTTCGAATACGATTCAAACACGGGGGTGTTCGGCCCATCTCTACTGCTAATGGCAAAGTAAACACATTAAACTAATTTGTGATTTGAACTTACTATTAGCACTACAACTATGAGTGTGATAATTGAAATTTACCTAACACTATGGCGCACTATTGCTCATTTGCACCCGGTTGTCTGATGGTTGCAAAAAAATTGCACTTGGTGTGTAAAAAAAAGCTTGCTGAAACACAGGGCCAATGCTAGCATAAGGCTGCATAGGCAACCGCCTGTGGGCACCGGGGAGGTGGGGCCCGTGTAGGCAAAAATCCTTGCACTGGCCCTGGGCCCTCTCTACCATCACTGATCACCACCGTTCTGGTTAATTTTTAATTATTGTATGCATTTCTTTCATTATGGGTATAAATGGGAGGGGGCCATTTGAACTTTTCCTAAGGCCTCACAAAGTCTAGAGCCGCCTCTGACCAAAGATATGTATTTGGCATTCCCTGAAGACTCATCTGCATCTTAAGAGATTAATATAAAATGCAAAGCTAATCTAATTTAATGAGAGAGTAAATGCTTTTGTACACTGGAGCTATAGGGCACATACAGTATTTTTATAGTTACCTGTAAAATAACAGCGTCATACATTTCAATCAACTACAGAAAATGTTCATAAATGTCATTTTTACACTTTTATTGTAAATTGCTTAAAAATTCTATTCTACGTACATCTGATCTCTGAGCTTCTCATCCTTCACTTTCTCTTGCAGTTCTCCTCGGTGTGTGGATGGATGTGGCCGGTGGAATGAGTATTCAGCTGACCCCTCAGTATCCAGTCATCCGGGGATCTGTCACTCTGAGCATTACTGGGATTATTGGGAGACTTCAATCTATCGCTTGGTATAAAGGACCAAACTTAGTCCCTGCAAATCAAATCCTTGTATATCTCCCTGGTGCTGAGCCCACAACAGTCAGAGGATCTTTGTTCCATGATAGGATGACAGTTTCTCCCGATGGATCTCTGATGATCTCCAACCTCAATATAGCTGATGAGGGAAATTACACAGCGAAGATACAATCAGATAAATCAGATGATATCTATGTAATTATGAAAATCTATGGTGAGCAATACATCCGACAGAGTAATATAAACAGAAACATTTACATTTAGTTTAATTATTTTCCACTTTACTTGCACACAAAACTAACACTGACATTCCGGGATTTCATTATGAGTTGCTTTGGGCTTCATTTACTTAAACTGACCCCTGGATTTAAAAATGTCACATATTTCAGCCTGCCGGTCTTAGATGAGGTGTCTGCATTAGTTTTCTTTTCCCTTTCAAGCTAAAAACATTTTCAACAAGTACAGAAATTACCCGTTTCTCCTGTCATAAATGTTGTGTCCTTGTCACTTCCTGTGAGCTGCACTGAAAGCATAAAACAATGTTATCGTCCTTCCGTAAACTACTAATCTCCCTGTCCCCCATTCAATGGAGATGAATAAAGGCAGATACATTTGAAATCCAGCCAGGGACAGGAAGTATGTTATTTTCAGATTTATCAGGTGCAAATAAAGATTGAAAGGCCTGAAAAAAAAGAAAACGATTACAACCACCACATCTGAGGACTGGAAAATGGAATATATTAATTTTTTGCTTTTTGGGTTTAGATATGCTTCAAATGAGAACTATGAGGGGTGTGATTTCCACTCATCCTTATAGTTCGAGCCGACCTGTGACAGGTCGGCTCTATAGATCGGGAAGTAAGCGAACGCATACCGTTGCTCGCTCACTTCTCGAACATCTCTCTGCAGAGAGCAGTGACTCCCCGCAGGGATTCCCCTCCCTGCTCTGATCCTTCAGCGCTGACTGGCGGAATGGACGGGGGAGGGGGCGGGCACAGCTGCCTCTGCCTCTAGATAAGCAGAGCCAGTTGTCACTCAAGCAGCTGTGTGGATCTTGACAGTATTATTGGGATCCATCCCGGCTGCAGCGATCTTGGTATATAGTGAGCAATAGCTCGCTATATACTGAGCTGCGGGTCACGGGAGGAGGTTAGTATATGTCCTCCCGTGACCCTAAAGAGAACTATGGGATAAAAAGGATTACCCCATAGTTCTCTTTTAAGAAAAGCATAAACTGCTAGAGTGGGTTGAGTTATTCTGCTAGAGTTCAGGTTGTGACCAGTTCTGTGAAACTCCCCCCTCAAAATGCAGACACATCTGAAAGTTTCTGCAAAACCTGTTAAAGTCTATGGGGGTGGGGGAGGGGGAATCTTCATATGCAATTTAGTCCTTTTGTGGGGCCAATAACCAAATATTGTCAAACAAAAAGCACAGGAAGCTGGACACTGCCATGAGGAACCTGGGCCAATGCCAAAATAATAACAAAAAATAGCATACAGTGGGGATATGCAGGCCCGGATTTCCCACAAGGCCACCGAGGCCCGGCCTCGGGGCGGCAGAGCGCAGAGGGGCAGTAGCAGTGACCTTGTGGGGAAGTTGCGGCCGTCGGTGTAAGGTGTCCCGGTGGCGTCCAATCACGGCGTTGATTAACGCCGGAGAAAGTAGCCGTCTACCTTGCTATCACACAGGGGATTGTTATCTCCTGTGTGATAGCAATAGAGTTATGTGAAAAAAAAATTACATTGATTTAAAAAAAAATGTAAATACATTTTTTAAAAAAAACCCATTTAAATAATTAAAAAATAAAAAGGTGATTAAAAAGTAAAAAATAAGAAAATAATTATAAAAAATAAACAATAATAACATAAAAACTATAGAAAAAGTAAATTATAAAAAAGTAAAAAGATAAATAAAAATCTGGGAACCTGGCCTTGGGGCGGCAGGGAGAGTAAATCTGGCCTTGGGGATATGTCCTCTTTTAAGTGGTGAAATCCTTTTATATTACAGTTTTGGGGGGTGCATTATAGCTGACATGGTGTTACAGGCACGATTTTTACCTACAGCTTTATTGACAGCCTCCTCTGGCATCGCATATTTGGCGATTGAATTGTTTTTTTTTCTTGTACAATGAAGTTGGCTTACATACATAATGCTATTTCATTACTTCTTCCAAGCTTGCCTTCGGGACTTCTCTAGAGCCTCTTCCATCATATGGAACTCTTTACTCCAACCTGTCTGACTTTCTCCCACTCTGACTGCCTTTAGGCGATCCCTTAAGACTCATCTCTTCAGGGAAGCCTATCCCACCGCAACCTGACCACTGAATTATCACTTTCTCAAACAATTCATCCCCACACAGCTACCTCCTCATGTCTCACTGGCCCCTCCCTTTTAGATTCTAAGCCCTCATGGGTATGGCCCTCCTTACCATCTTGTCTTGAATGGTACTGTGCTTGTAATGTCTTCCTTATATTGTAAAGTGCTGCGCAAACTGTTGGCGCCATATAAATCCTGTATAATAATAATAATAATTAATTTCAGGTAAAAACGGCTTTTTAGCAGCTACGCATGCTTTTTCATCAGGTGTTACTAAGGCCTGGTTCACACCTAGGCGTTTTTGAGCAATAGGAAAAGCTCTTTTAAACGCCCCAACACAAGAAATCCCATGATTTTCAATGGGCCCTGTTCACACCTGAGCAGCCAAACCCGGACAAAGTACATGAGCTTCTTTTGGCAGTTGAAAGCTCATTTTCCCCCCCATAGACTTCAATGGAAAGGCCAGAAAACGCGCAGCAAAAGCATGTTGCACAATTTCGTGTGTGTTTTTGCGGGTTTAAAAAAAACCCTGCCGCTCCGTGTAGACAGTGAGAGGGGAGAGCTGAAAAAAAATTGAAACTAACCCCGCCGCCCCGCCATCTGGTTGCCATTCTCCATTGAGGGGAAGGGGGGGGGCGTATTGCGACACCTGGCCTTGGGACGGCAGGGAGAGTAAATCCAGCCCTGGCTGAACACGTGCGTACAAATGAGCAAAAACAATGTCGTCTAGGTGTGAACCAGGCCGAAGCCTGCTTTGACTGGCAGAAATAGCAGATGCAACAGACTTCCAAGCCTAAGGAACGGGAGTTCTTAACAAAATGACAGTGAAAGCAAGTATAATGTGCTAAAACATGTCCTTACAGTTTGATGGCATGTGAGCTCCTTTTTATTGTAACACCGCAATGCATTGTATTCATAGGTTTTAAAAGAAATATTTGAGTCCCTTTAAACAGGAACTCCAAGATTCTCAAAAGTTAACCCTTGCAGTGGGGCTACCCCCGCACTGCAAGGGTTAACTGTTGATTTAAACTATATGCTAACATAAGGAAAATATATTCATCTGATTCTCAATCCCGCCAGGCTGCTAGACCGGTCCCCATAGCCTCTTCTCCCCCCGGGCTCCAGCAGTATAAGCACTGCTGATGTCATGTCTATGCCGGTCCATTCACTTGCATTAGACGTGAGGACGCCGAGGGACATACTACAGCCGGGGAGGAGGGGAGAGAGGTGAGTGCTGACCGCCACGGGACCGAAGATCAGGTAAGTATATCTTCTTTATTCCTTTTCCTAGATCAAAGCAAACACTTAGCTGTTGCAGTGTGGGGATAGCCCCACTGCAAAGATTAGCTTTAGAAAATCCTGGAGATCTTCTTTAGGATATCAGCAAAAAGTTTCCCAGCACACTCACCAGCCAGCAGGCAAAAAAACCTGTCTGAGCGCTAAGGTTAAAAACAGAGGTTTTAGATACACATCTTCCGCAGAATATGTGAAAGCCGCACTGACTTATCAAGGCTCCTCTGTGTAGTGCAGTCCTAACTATAACTGTGAGAGTCTCCATCTTGGAGCACATGTAGCAAGAGATAAAATTGGGTGCAGGTTCGCCAGGAGGTAGCCCAACCTGCTTAAGGAAGTGCGGCTTTCACATATTCTGCAGAAGACGTGCTTCTAAAACCTCTGTTTTTAACCTTAGCGGTTAGACCGTTTTTTTTTTAATGCTGGCTGGTGAGTGTGCTGGGAAACTTTTCGCTGTTGTACTGTATAAAGCCCTTCCATGTGCACCTTGCTTTAAAGCTGGTTATGAGTTGATGAGTGCGTTTGCCATTTGTTTTGCTGCTTTAGGATATGGTTCACCAGAAATTGGTCAGTGACTGGACAGCAAACAGGCCCAATTACAGAACGTAGAGACAAGGCAGGTTTTATCCTTCAATAAAAATTACATTGTAGCCTCTGAGACACAGTAGTCAAAAATATTTTTGAGCTGTGGGACAGTATCTGACCAGCTTGTCTATGCTTCGAATTTCAAAGAAAAAAGGCAGGAGTTTTCCTGCAATAAAAATGTTAGCTTTGCAGCAGTGTTCAAGCCATGAAGAAACAAATTCTCAGTGGCAGGACAGAATGCTTTTAGCTTGAATAAGCTTTAAATTCAGAAAATATGAAGTTTCTTTCAAGTGGAAGGAGAAAAAAAGAGAAAAGGGTTAGGCAGCTGGGTACTGACTTTCTCTAATGCTTGTCTCCAGGTAATTTTACTGTGAGTGGGCAGCCTCAGTCTAATTGTGTTTGGAATAATGCAGCGGTCATGCAACTTCCGCATAGATGTTGGCACTAGGGGAGATCCAACGTAGGAGTCATGTATCCTCTACTATGGACTCTGGGCGCCATCTTCGGGAAGCCTGTGTCAAATCTGCACTCGTAGCACCCATGAGATTTTGGTGGCCATCCTTGGGTACAGGGGGGCTACATAGCTATGCCTGCATCATTACGGGGCTACAGATTGGGAGGTTTTAGACAGGGACCGAACCCCTTTTTAGCATGGATAGATTCTGCTTCACTCCTTCAGGGGGAAGGGGTAAAGAACCAGGAGTTTTAGGCAGCCCTGAAATCAGGACCCTCCATGGGTAACCGAGTTAGCAAGGTGCTCTGTCGGCAGAGAGTTCTATTAGTTTCAAAGGTTTCCCTTTGTGAGACACTTGTGTGCTCTGAGAAGTTTTATGTGAGGACCTATGAGTAGTTGCTAGAGCTGCATCATACTTTCCTTAAGTGAGGCGTCCTTTAGTGATACCCACTGCTAGGGGCGTCCCCGAGGGCCAGGTGTCACCCGGAACGGAGACCGGGTGACACCCCGCCGCAACTTCTTTGTGAATGCTCGGTCATCTTAGTGACGTCTGCCGGCGGCCATCT